GAAATCCCCATCCCTGATGAAATTTTTGGCCACCCAGAAGAGAAATCCCAGTGAAAACTCCCCAGCCTCGGTGCAATGGGGAAGCAGCTGTCAGTGCCTGGTCATCCCCAAGCCACTGTCTGCTGCTCATATCTTGCATCCCACACCCCTCATCCTGCAATCTGCATCCTGCAACCTAAAATCTGTGCTCTACCTCCGTTGACTTCATCCCACATCCTTCATCTTGCATCCTGCACCCCACACCCTGCACCCTGTGGCCTTTGTTCTGCATCCCACATCCTTCAGCCTGCAGCCTGTCCTGCATGCCAGACTTTGCATGTCATAATCACAGCTTGCATCTTGCATCCTGCATCCTCCTTGTCCCTCTTGGCCTGTAGACCTTAACCACAGAACAGTTTATCGTGGTCCCCCTTGCAGTAGCATTCATGGAGGACCTGTCAGGCTCTGCTCACATCACCCAGCATGCTCCAGGTGTATGTCTCCTGATAGACTCATGGGATGCCCCAGGTGTCTGTCCTTCTGTTGAACACATGCACCTCCCTGTAGGACACCATGGTGTTTGGACCATGGGTTTGTGCATGTCCTCACGGCAGCTTCAGTTTGGGTGGCACAACTTCTACTCACTGCTGTACTGAAATGAAGGGACAAGGGCATGGATGGGCCGTGGCCATAGGTGCTTACAGGCTGGAAATTCCCTGCCCTTTGCCTGTTCCCTTTTCCCTGATATTGCCTCCCTTTCCTGGGACCACAGGGCTGGAGAACCTTTCTGGGGGTTATAGCGGACCAGGACAACAGTATGGTTCCTGTGCCTCAGTGTGTGCCACAGGCTGCCCTGTCCCACAGGCCTGGAGCGGGCCAGTGCCAGCCCTGCTGGCAGCAATGCCAGAGGCTGCACATTGCTGAGACGATGAGTCAGTTCCCATGAGTCAAGGAGACTGAGCCTGGTGACAGCCATCCTTTCCTTGGCTCTGCTGTGCCAAAAGAGAAAGTCACTTTCTCCAGCTGTCCCCTGGACTTTCTCTGCCCTGCTAGGTGCCAGCACCCATGGCGCTCTGTGCCAGGATCCATGGCTCTCTGTGCCAGCACCCACGGCTCTCTGTGCCAGCACCCATGGCTCTTCTGTGCCAGGACCCAGGGCTCTCTGTGCCAGCATCTATGAGGCTGTGCTTTCCAGATGACCTGTCTTGCTCACCTTGCCTGCAGCATTCAGATGGCTTCAAGGAGCCACCACCAAGTTCCCCTCTGTGCCCCTGCTGGAAAAAAACTCTGGATTAAAATTATAGGGTACTGACCCACTGGGATTGGCACCTGGCTGGTGCCTCCCTCTCTGCCCTGTCCCAGCCCAGGGCATCCCATGCCCCGCTTTCCCGAGCACTCTATCCCTCATGGTCCCCTCTCCCCTGTAGTGATGTGACGTTTGTGGTGGGCCGGGAGCAGCAGAAGGTGTTTGCGCACCGCTGTGTGCTGGCATGTCGCTGTCAGGCTTTCCGGGGGATGCTTGGCCAGGCGTTGGTGGACAGCGAGGAGTCCCCCAGCAGCAACCCACCCCAGGGCCCCTTCATCCTGGGCAACGTGCAGCCTGAGGTCTTCCTGGCCGTCATTGAGTTCCTCTACACTAACAGTGTCACCCTCAACAGCCACATCGTGAGTGGGGATGGGGCTGGTGGGGAACATGGGCATGGGAGGGACAAGGGGGAACATGCAGGGGTAGGGAGTGCTTTGCAGCTCTTGGTGTGCCAGAGTTGGAGGAGATGGTCTGCATGATGCTTTCTGGATGGTTAACAGTGCAATGAGTGTGTGGGGTCTCAGCCCAGCACAGTGATGTGTCCAGAGCACCTTGTCCCAGCCTTGGAACAGCTGGCCATGCACACCCTGGATGCTGTCGACACTGGAGCAGACCTAAATTTGCCTCCACGTGGCAACCTTACCTCTGTCCACCCCCCACACACACGAAGACAGGAGCACACATGCCCTGGCCCCTGGGCTGCTGTGCCCATCCATGGTCCTGCACACTGATGCTCACATGGTCTCTCTTGCCTGCAGGCGCTGGAGGTGCTGACCTCATCGGTGGAGTATGGCTTGCAGGACCTGTGCAAGGTAGGGCCCTGTTTAGACTGGGGGCAGTGGTTCCGAGTGCCTCGGTACTAGGGAGCACCCCGAGCTGGTCCCTGCATGGCTAGTGACTGGAGGACAGCACCGTGGTGCATCACCCGGCATCAGTGCAGGCTCAGCACTGCTTCTGGGTCCTGGAAGGTTTCTCCAGTGGGATCCCCCTTGAGGGAGTGCAGCAGTGGCTGGAAGCCCCGCAGGGGAATCCCAGGAAGTCATGGGGAAGGGCGTGGGGTTTTTCATGCCTCCCGCACAGCAAAGGGCAGCAGGAAAGCCCCTGTGCCGCTGCCCACGGTGCTCTCCGGTCACCTGGCAGGATGATGCAGTAAAGCAAGCCCCAGACTTGGGGAGCAGTCAGCACCCCAGCTGTGGTGCTGCCACGGGAGTGCTGCTTTAGGTGGGAAGGTTTTGGGAAGGCAGCAGGGAGCAAAGAGGAGGGGTGGGAGCCGGAGCAGCTCGGCGCTGGGGAGGGTGTCCAGGGCCACGTCATCAGCGTGATTCCTGAATTACAGCCGGGCAAAAAAGCTCGCGGCCGCACTTCCCTTCCCTCGCGCCGGGGAAGGAGCGCAGGAGCTGAGCCGTCGCAGGTGGCTGTGTGCTGGGTCTGTGGGGTGGGACCTACCGCGTCACACGGTCGGGACAAGCTCAGCCAAGGCCCAGATGTGGCACGGAGCTGTCAAACAGCTGGCTGGGCAGGGAAGGG